TACAGAATGATTATATTCATTCTGGGGGATTGACACATGTACATAACACATCTCAGTTCTTTTTCTTTCTTTCCCCTCCATCCTCTCCTTAAATTTTTTTTTTTTTGCCAGCATCAGATTCTTCTTTCTTTGTTTTTTTCTTTCTTTCTTAATGTATTTAGTACAGGGTCTCACTACACAGATAGGACTTGTAGTGATCCTCCTGTTTTCAGCCTCCCAAGTGCTGGGATTCCAGGTGCACACCACCATGCCCAGTCTCAATTGCTGTCTCAGCGTGCCCCAGGGACAGGGCCAGCGTGGCACACGAGGGATCAAATCATGGTCCCTGAGTCTGCCTAAGCAGGCACTTTAGTCCACTGAGCTATCTGGCCAGCCCTCATTTCATTATTTTATAAGTCCTAATTGTTAGTTACCATAAATACAGATTAAAAGCCAGAGTAACAGGCCAGAAAACATAAATACGTAAGACAGCTATACTAAATCAAGGTACACTTTTAGATGTGTTGTCCATCCTTACAGTAACATTTTAATCTTTTTTTCCCCCATTGTCTTTTATTTTGCACTTTATTTATATAATGGTCTTTTCATATAAGAGAACTTTTCAGGCACGTGTGTCTGATTACTTTAACATTATGATCTCAGGATTAATCCATTTTTCCTATAATCACCTCGAGCTTGTCTTTATATCAGAGCCGTCCACCACTGTAAGTACCAAGTGCTCAGTGTCCCTCCCTCTGCTAATGGTCGCGGTGTGCTTCCGAGATGTCCTCAGGCCGGCATGGCTGTGCTAGGTTGGGGGAGCACGGCCCCGTTCTCCATAGTGACTGTGCTCTTTACACTTCTGCCAATTTCTATGTGTGTTCCAATGCACATTTTATATTTGTTTTTATAATAGCTATGCTGGGCTGGTAAGATGGCTCAGTGGTCTAAGGCACCTACTTAGAACAAGCTAAGTTTAGCAAAACACAGAGACCACGGTTCAATCCCCCAACACCACATGCCAGCCAGCCCTGCCCCCTGGTGGGCTGAGCTGGCCACACACACACTAAATAAATAAATAAATCTTTGAAAAAAAAAATAGCTATGCTAACAGGTGCCAGTTATTGCTTTCTTTTTTTTACCTATTGTCTCTAATTTCTTTTGGACTCCATTTAGGCTTATGTTCTTTTCTCTCTATCCTTTTTCTTTTGAAAGAGCTTTGTGTTTTCTGTCTTTTGGCTGTATGGTTTATTCTGGATCTTCTGTTTAAACTTCCTGTTCAGTCTTGTGTAATTTTCTCATCCATATCCATTGCATTTTTAAACAGAGTTCATCAATTGAACACTTAATTTTGTCTGTTACTTGATTCTTTATAACATCTATGTTACTTTTGAAAACCTATGTCGCCTTATAGAACTATGTCATGTTTCTGTCCCAAATTTTACTCCTGCATTTATCTTCTTAGACAGGGTAAGAATTATTATTATATTAAATTCCGCATCCAGAGTTCAAGTGTCTGTTTCTGTTAGCTTTCGGTCCTGTTGCTCTGTGTGCTTGGTTGTCTGGCTGAGTTTTGGATGTTACCTTTGAAAACTTGTTAACAGAAATAAATTGAGAGTCGGACTGCAGTGATGTTCTTGCCACACAGAAGCGGCTTTTGTTTTTATCTGGGGCTTTAGGGACATACACCAGCGATCAGAGCTTTTATGGGTCCCTAGAAAAACAGAGAAAGGCGGTAGGGTTTCTGCCTACGTTGAGGGCTTACCTGGCCACCAGCCTGAAAGGCTCTTGGGGCTCACTTGTTTTTCTGGGTGACCCAAGGTTATCAGAAGTAATCCTGAAGCAGAGCTGAGGCCTGTGAATTGTAAGTTTTAGGCCAACCTGATATCTGAACTTTTGCTATTTTTTAAAAAATTAGAATTGCTTTATCAGAACATAGTGAAGGCACGTATGATTGTAGTCATCGCAGGCATTTGGTGCATGAGCGTGTCGCGTCGCCACTCCTTCACTCCCCTCGGCGCTAGCACTGAGTGCTCTGGCGCTTCTTGCCCTGGCAGTGCTTCTCTCATACTTTTAGACTACGCTCAGCATACTTGTTTTCAGCAGGAGGGCTGGAACCGATTACCTAGCCATATCACCTTTACAGAAGCGTCTTTAAATTTAGTACTACAAAGACAGCTTGTCAGGGTTGAGAGTGCAGAGCGCTTACGGAGCGCCCGCGTGGGGCCCGGGCTCCCGACCCCAGCCCTGGACGGGGGAGGGCGGGGCCGGCGTGCGGAGCGCTTACCGAGCGCCCGCGTGGGGC